AACTTATTCTAGTGTAAGTATTTTTATTTTATTTTTCATTTTTATCATTTTTAATATATATTTATTGCTAGAAAATAAAATCACACAAATAAAGTTTTTAAAATGTATTTACACAGTCCTTAAATTTGGTTACAGGTTACAAAATTGCAAAACTCATATAAAATGAATACTCCTATTTCGTTTGACCCCCTGAAGTAGATTATTATTTTTGAGTTCAAGGGTCCTATTTTGTACCCTGTACCCTGAAAGTACCTCTGATCCAACACAATTTCAAACTTCAACACAATATAGACTCTCTGTTTGCTGTCAAACCCTCTTTTACAGAGTCACTGAGAGGCTAAATTGACAATAGTGTTTTACTGGAACAAGACACAGCAGTCTATTGCACACAGTTACTGTACTACCCTCCCTCCCTCTCACCCTGTTCACTCCTCCAATCTCAGCCCATCAGCAGGTGCACTGAAAGATGAATCAACCAATCACATCTATGCACTTATGAGATGTTTCAATGGTCAAGGTCTTTATTTCAACTTCTTATCCAAACACTGCTTCACAAGGTTTCATAATGTAGTGCTAACAGCCCTTTGGAGTCAAGTCTTTTGATTAAATATGCGTGTGAGTGCGTTTTAAATCTCCATAACTAGTGTTCAGCAGATTTCAAGGCACTAAGGAGTGTGTGTTGGTCCTGTGGTGGACGGTAAAAGTCTTTTTCAATGACAGTTTGCCTTTGCTTCCCCCTGCTGGAGCAACACATTTATGTTCACTCAATGCTCTGACACTGAGCCTGCGTCCCAATTCATACTATTCATCCTAAATTCTATGTGATATATTAGTAATTTTCAATACTATTTAGGGCAGCATCAAGTGTATGTGTTGCTCCTCCAGGAGTGTTTGAAATACTACTGCTTCTGTAGCATATAGTATGTGTGTGTATATACATATATATATATATATATATATATATATATATTATGTGTATTTTCTTTAAATGCATGAATGGATGATATTCTACTTTAGCCTAAATGTGTAGTATACAAGAGCACACTTCACTGTCCTGTAACCTACAATGCAATGTGCTGTACTGACTGAACTTCTAAAAGTAAACTAATTTTTACACAAACATAGACTTAAAATGCAAAATAACAGATTAATTAATTAATTATTCACTCACTGGAATTAAAAACGTGACAACATATCTAGCATTCAACAGTCTAGCTACTGTTTGAAACATTTTGCATAGGCTACTGAATGACAGTATTTTTTTTTTTTAAAGGGGTCATATGATGCTGCTAAAAAGAACATTATTTTTCTACTTTTAGCCTAAATGTGTAGTATACAAGAGCACACTTCACTGTCCTGTAACCTACAATGCAATGTGCTGTACTGACTGAACTTCTAAAAGTAAACTAATTTTTACACAAACATAGACTTAAAATGCAAAATAACAGATTAATTAATTAATTATTCACTCACTGGAATTAAAAACGTGACAACATATCTAGCATTCAACAGTCTAGCTACTGTTTGAAACATTTTGCATAGGCTACTGAATGACAGTATTTTTTTTTTTTAAAGGGGTCATATGATGCTGCTAAAAAGAACATTATTTTGTGTATTCCAAAGAGAAAGGAAAAATTGAAATCGCATCATATGACCCCTTTAAAGCAGTATAAAGTATATACTATGTATACAGTGTATAATAGTATACTAATATGCTATCTGTGTTTGACAAATGTAACAGTCTGCCATCCCAAAATTCAGTTCCTTCTAACTTTGCACAAGATAAAAAGACAAAGTAATAAATACAATGACTGAATGTGGTGTGTGTGTGTGTGTGTACCTGTTTTTCTATTCTGGTGGGGACTTAAACCTGAATACACACAGACTCGTGGGGACTCGTGTCACGGTGGGGACCTAAATTGAGGTCCCCACGGGTTAACAAGCTAATAAATCACACGTAATGAAGTTTTTTGAAAATCTAAAAATGCAGAAAGTTTCCTGTGAGGGGTAGGTTTAGGGCTAGGGTTGGTGTAGGGCAATAGAAAATACGGTCTGTACAGTATAAAAACCATTACGCCTATGGAGAGTCCCCACAAGGATAGCTGACCAGACGTGTGTGTGTGTGTGTGTGAGTGAGAGTGAGAGCGAGAGTGTGTGTATAAACGGATCTAATTCCTCTTGGGAACCAGTCAGACTAGCTCTCCGCGGTGTGTATTCATGTGTATATTTCTAATATCCTCGGGGCTGTTCATTTATGAATGCTTAGGATCGAGGAGAAACATCTGATCTCTCTCTTTATCCTCATATTTCTCTCGCTTTCAACATACAGGAACACGAACAAACACTAAACCCATATAAGACCATCAACAGCATATTATGGCTACATTCTATCACAGTATCTTTCTAAAGGTGTTTTGTGTGAATTAACCATAGACAGTATAAAAACGTTAGTCATTGTGATTATGTTCCAAGTCAGAAAAAATGGTGTGTGAAATGACGTTTGTGAATGATACGGAACAATTTCCCATGATATAGTACCTCAGTAGTGGTGTAGGCAGCAGCCCAGGCATTTTTAATTCCCTTTCTCACAGCACGTCCTAAACAGACACGACGGGATGCGACTTCGTCGCTCTTCTGTCTGTTCTCAATAATAAAAAAACGATGATGCCACGCGGCCAATCAGGACATTTTGATTAATATTCAGGTATGTGCAGAGGGATTTTAGACCAATGAGATTTCACAATGGGCGGAGCTACAGAAATTGGAGTCACGTGATCGATAAACGTTGATTTTTTTTTTTTTTTTTTAATACTTCTTTTCTGACCCTGAGACTCAACTATTTTCTGCAATTCTCCAGCTGTGTTTAATACTTCTGCGTCGGACCTGCGCCGTTGTCACGGTCGCGACTGGTTTGGATAAAAACTCGGGAAAACAAGGGAAAATCTTTTCTTTTGTCGTATTATCGCGTCGCATCTGATTAGGACATGATGTAGTGTTTGTTATTCATTCAAAAATACACAGTTCAAAAGTTTGAGGTCGGTAAGATTTCTAATGCTTGTGAAAGAAGTCTCTTGTGCCCACCACAGCTGCATTTATTTGATCGAAAATAAATGAAAACTAATATTTTGAAATATTATTACAATTTAATATGTTTTGTATTTCAAAATATTTTAAAATGTCATTCCTGAGGCAAAGCTGATGTTTCAGCAACCATATTATTTTATCAATGTTGAAAACAGTGCTACTTAATATGTTTGTGGAAACTGTGATAAATTTTTTTCATGATCCTTTGATGAATAGAATAAGTACAACATTTATTTGAAACAAATCTTTTGTAACATTATAAATGTATTTACTATAACGACTCACTTTTGATCAATTTAATGCATCCTTGATGAGTAAAAGTAGTAATTTCTTTCAGGGGGAAAAAATAGTGACCACAAACTTTTGATTGATGTTTTTTCATTCAGTGAGGCTTCATTCAGAAGTCATTCAGTGTGGCAGACAAACACACCAAGAGGGAATGCTGCCATAAATTGCAAAGTACAGTTGAAAGCTCCCAGTGCTCCCAGATTCCTAAGAATTGCATCTTGTTGAAAGGCCGTGTGGCCACTGACCAAAAGAAAATTGCCCACGTTCACGGTTGGCACTGAAAAACCGCTTATAGGCGGGGCCGTCTGCGCTGTCCAATCAGAGCTCAGTCTGAAGTTGGTTGACACATTCTAATTCTACTGGGTCAAAACATCAAAGGGATTCTTCATGTAACATCAAAAAGGAACTGTTCTAAATAGTGCACTTGATGTGGACTTACAGTCTCGTGGTCTTCACTTGTACGTGTCCATTAGATGCCAAAGCTACAGAGTGTCTCATTTGTGAATTTTATGATTCACGGGCTCATGCTGTGCCTTTTTGTGAAGACCTCACATGTATATTCCTTGTGTTTCTGTGTGTTTGTGTGTCAGTGTGTGAGCACGGCGATGAGCTCGTCGATCGGCGCCGTCTCTGAAGGCTCCAGCAGTCTGAACGTGTGGCTGAAGGTGATGAAGTGTGTGAAGAGCGTGTTGAGCTGCGGGTGTAACTCCACGGCGATGGCGTCCTGGTAGTGAACGCTGAACAGGTGAGCCAGCGTGCGGAAGAGCATCACAAAGATCTTCTGTATCAGGAACATGAATCCAGAAGGGAACGCTGAACCTAAACACACACATACACAGTCACTTCTGATCATTTTCAGCTCGTTAGACTAAGGCAAATTCTGATTGTGAGAACCTCATACCGGCCTTGGTGGGAAACACACGCTCATCTGTGAGAATCTCCTGAATGTAGGACAAGGCGTAGTCGATGTAGATCGGAGCTGAACACTTCAGTTTCTTCCCCTGATCGTCTGTCCATTCATACAAACTGAAAAGGCAAACAAATGACACAAAATTGCAATTGTAACCATGCAATATTTTAGATTACTTAGATTATTTAGATACTATTTCTGCAGCCGATGATTATTAAATTACTATATTCTGTGATTAACATGTAGAATCACTATAATGATCTGTGTTATCAGAATAATCTCTTGTATATTTACCGTAATAGTGCTGCAGCATGAATTAATTATACAGTTGCATCTTGGTGTTTTTGCTGTTACTGCTGTTGTTTGTTATGTGACAACAAAGCTACTTGCTATGTAATGATGGTTTTGGGATTTTTTTTTAAATAATTTTATTTAAAATCACATGCTGATTGTCATCATTGGGTGTTGATATCTGCATTCATATCTGTATCCATGCAAATCATATTAAAATAAACCAGCAATAACAACCACAAATACTACTAACTACTATCTATCTATCTATATATATATATAAATATATATATATATATATTACCTTCAGTGTTTCATACATTTTTTTTATTGTAGTTTATTTAATCCTGTCTTTGTCTTACAGTGTAGTTTTCATCTAAACACCATATTGACTACAGAGCTACTACTGTAAAATGTTGTGATACTGTATTGTTAACCATAATAAACTGCTGGCAATATTTGGTAAGGTGTACATATGCCACATTTTTTTTTTGCCTGTATTCAAGCTGTGAATTTAGTCTCTTTTATCTAGCTGTAATGAAGTGTGTTTGTTCTGCTCACATGTTTCCTGAGCTCTTGGCTGCCGGACACGTGGTCATGGAGCAACTATCAGACAGAGTGCTGAAGAAGAGGGTTATGTGCTGGAAAAACGACACCGCTGGAAGAGATGGTAAGATGAGTTAACACACATTACACAAACAGAGCCTAACAAACCCACAGACCTCTGCCAAAACTATCTGATGCATAGTGCAAACAAAAATGGCTTTTGTCTCAAACTGTTTTTTCTTTGTAGTACATACTATTTTTGTTGTGTATTTTGTTTTTTATTTTAAGTGGGTGCTTTCAGGTCAGAATAAGTGAAGCTACAGACCAGCCTTTATTTAAATGTCTAGATATGTGAGCCAAGCCCAACACATTCCCATCATTCCTTTACGTGTTTCTGAAAATTATACATATGTTGAAAATATTTGACATGTTTCCGTCTCTAGTGTATTGTTTCATCCCTGAATTGCTCACTCAGATGACACTTTTAAATGTCATTTTTTAATCACTGGGTGTTTAACTGGCATTATGTGCACTCTGACTCGTGTGTGTGTGTGTGTGTATTTAATTTACTATATATATATATATATATATACACACACACACACACACACATTTTTTTTCCAAAATATTAGTTTTAATTAATTTTAATATGGTTGTTTCTGGCATTAATTTTTTCTATTTTGTTTGTGTGTTTGAATACTCACTGTTTGTTGCTATCCACTCCTGCTGGTCGAGGCCGTGCGGCAGGGCAGAGAGGGTCAGGAGGTCGAGATCAGTGATGCGTCTGGACAGGAAATGATCTTTCAGGTAAGGTTTGACTGCAGCAGACGGGACTATATGTAGACTGTTACTCTTTCTGTCAACACACACAGTCAACAGAATACTCTGAGAATCCACAGCAGAGAAATTTATTACATTTTGATAAAAGCTCTTTTTATATACATACATTTACACTAATCACTTGTGCACAATATGACCAGGAATGGAGGGTCAAATAGAGTCATTTTAAACATTTATGAATTTAGTAGATGCTTTTATCCAAAGTGACTTACAAAAAAGGGAAAAAAAGCAATTCATTAAGGAGCCAACAATATTTGTAATATACAATGCCAGGTTTATTTGACAACTAGATTAAGCAGCAAGCTGGAGAAGAGGGGAAATGCATAAATAAATCTCATTTGAAATGTGCTGATATTTAGCTGCAGTATGTGCCTGACTGGCTTTGCGATGGGAAATGTGAAATTCTTTTGCAGTGAGCTTTTCTGCTAGTTAATTTGTGTTCAAATAGTTATGCTGTTGAGCAAATAGCAAACAGTTACACAAGGACACACAGGGATTTAGTTTGGTTTAGTTTGTCATGTGTGCACATGGGGCTGGTTGATTACTGTATGTGCTGAAGGAGGTTGTGTTTTCCGACGGCATTAGTGAGCAATCAGCACATTCTTATTGGAAAGAGTGCTGCTTTCTACTGTAGACAGCGCTAATTTTCATTCATGCAAATGAGAAAAACCACACACACGCTGGCCTGGTCGGAGCGCACTGAGTGTGTGAATGCAGAGAAAACAGACCTCTGAATTTAGCCTTAAAATAACTGATGGAGTGTGTTTGTGTGTGGTGGGAGGTTTGAGACGGTGGCCTTGACCTGACTGATTAAAACAGGCTGTGAGGTGGAATATCTGCCATATGGTTGTCCAAAAACACCTGGGGCCTCATTTATAAAATACTGCGTAGATAGAATCATACATTTGATTTTACGATCATTTTTCAAAGTACGCACAGAAAACGTGCGTACGCCTCTCTTTTAGATGTGAAATCTATAAATTGCAATGATCTTGAAATTGTGCGCAGCTGAACCGTTTCAGATCTCCGCCCTGTAAACAATGTCTAATTAATGTCCTTGACTTATAAAAGAGCACCTGACAATGTCCAAATCTTTTACAAGCGGCAAGAATGGCTTATATTTCCAAAACTCAGGCAAACAAAAGTGCGTACGTCTGCTCAGACCCTGACGTGGCGCTAAGCTCTTTTCCACGTCAAAGACCGTTTTTATAAATATGAACGTTGCCGTGGATTTTTGCGTACGCACACTCTACGATCAAATCTGTGCATACGCACGTTTTATAAATGAGGCCCCTGGATACTTATGCAATGTTCAAATGTTATTGCATTTTTGTCTATTGCACACAGTGGTTCAGCTTTTTGCTCATTACCTACTGATGTAAGAATCACCTTTTTAAAACTGATGAGATTCTCATCACACCCTGTTGCATTATCGCATGATTTCATCTAAATCAGCCACTCTGATGAGAGGTATTTTTCAGCAAGATCCTTCAGGCATCACCTGCAGCACATCTCATCACTGTGCTGAAATACTTTGTTTACCATGCCTTTAATGGACACTTGAGGAGATGTAATGTTTTTTTAGTATTTTTTAAAAAGAAATATAGATGCCAGTATTAAGTAAATATGGTCACTTTTAATGTATAATATATATATATATATATACATATTATGGCTGTAGTCATAAATTATAAATAACTTGTGTAACTTCATGTTTGTTTAATAGGAAACTCAAAAAAACAAACAATTTGAATGGTTAGTTAGTATTATAGTTAGCATTTCCTTGATGTGAGGTTAGATTCTATTAGATAAAGGTCACGTTAGATACAGCAGCTTAAAATATTAACAAGTAAAAGAGCCATGTATTTCTAATTTAGAAGTGACTGACCTACAAAAGTACATACAAGTACAATGGTATTTATAATGCACATACCGTGCTTTTTTTGTGTATGTAATATCATGGTATGCGAGTACCATGTAACTGTATTATTACATATGAAAATACATATGCCTATTTCATGTTAAATGAAGGATAAAGTGTTGGTTTTAGACAACATTTTCTAATCAAGCAATGCATTTTTTCTTCAAAATGACCAGTTGCACTCATGCACGGGTGTGCGGAATGTAAATACACAGGCCGCGGGAGGTGTGTTTACCCATAAACCCTTGTGCAGAGAGTCCATGTTTTCACACACAAACACACATGGACTTGTGGAAGTTTCCTTTGACTTTCAGGATTTTTCCAACACAAAGCCCAACTGAAACTACTTATATGCTTACACACATTCTCTCTCTCTCTGAAGATATGCATGGCGCTTATCTCTTCAGCAGACATTTGTCTGATGTATGCATTCCTTATTTTACTGCCTATCTAGTGTGCGTAGGTGCAGTATATACTCACACTTTGAACAGGCTGACATTGGTGTAGTTTGCCTTCAGAGCGCTGACATCCTCTTCATCAGAGCTGCTGTAACTCTGACATCCCCCCATATCCAGGATGCTTCTACCCATTAAAGGCCCTCAGAAACACACACGCCTCATTCAGACATTAAACACACCGATGAACCCGTCACGTAAACAAACACACTGCATGCCGTTTTCATCTACATGATGTCCAATCCTGGTCTACGTCCAGACTGTTGCTCCGTCCAGCATTCTTTCTGGTTTCTTGCTGGTAAATGTGTTTGTGTTCTCTCCGCTGTTCTTTGTGCGTCCTACACTTCAGGCTGAGTCTCCTTGTCTCCGGTGAAGCAGACGGACAGGTTCCACCAGTAGTGAAAAATATTTACTCTCTTACACAAACTCAAAGCCACACCCACTTCCCCAAGCTGCCCTGCCTCCTTTCACCTGAGGGCACCGCCCTTTTGTGCCTCCAGGGGAACTTTCACTTTCAGTGCACTTCACACAGGATTGGTGTCATTCCCAGTCATGGAACTTTCCGTGAAGTTTTGTTCATTCCTTTGGTTTCATGTTCATGATGACATAAGGCAAATCATCAGGTATGGTGTACCCAAACTTGCATTTAGACATTTTAAAATACATTTAAAAATCTATTAATTGTATAAAGTTAACACTTTATAAGTTCTCATTTGATTAAAATTAGTTAACATGTACTAACAATAAACAATACTTTCACATCATTTATTAATATAGGTTAGTGTCAAAATTTACTTGCTTAAGGTTTTTTTTTTTTAAATCAAAAGTTGTGTTAGTGAATCCACTCTGAACCTGAACCATGAACTACAAAATATATTCTCATATACTCATTGTTAATGTTAGCTAATGCATTTACAAACGAGACCATATTATAGTGTTACCGACTTATATTAATTTTGCAGTTAATCAGGCACTGAATGGCTAAACATTTTGCAACAATTTACACATTTACAGAATAATACTTATGTTATTGTTTTGCAATGCATAATGGACGTGGTTTATTTAACATGTTAATATATTTTGTCATTAATAAACTTAAGGCTATATAATGGTTGAGATCTGAGATCACATTCATAATTTTCTATAACATTTATTTTATTATTATCTTTAAATGATTTTAAAAAGTTTTTTTGTCTCGATCTTTGAATGATTCATGTGTAAGAAATTTGTATAATAAATAAACTTGCCTTGATTTGCCAAAGTACAGGAACATTACAATTAAAATTTTCACTTGTATTGAACGTGAAGCACATGAAGTTTTTATTTTAGCACATTTATATTCATTTTCCCCCCACAGTTTATACATAGGCTGTACCTTTGGTTAACAATTTACAATAAAGTCACAACTAGATTAACTGCATTAGTCAATGAACTAACAATGAAAAATATTTAATGAAGTATTAGTTAAAAGTAGTTAATGAAGTTGGCCATTTACTAATACATTAATCAAGTTGTACCTGCTAACATTATTTAATGGAAGTGTGTTAACGTTAACAATAAACCGTTAATGACCATTGACCATTAACAAATGTTAAACACTGTAACAAATGCATTGCTCATCGTTAATGTTAATGCAGTAACTAACAATTTAATCTGAACTTTTTGTAACGTGTTACCTTACCTTTGTTCACCCAATTATATTGTAATTTTGACACTTTTTTTTTTTTGTTAAATTTTCATTGCTTAATGTAGACTGCATTCATCATCTGCAACCCCCATTCTAGCCAGATGAACTATACATTGTAAAATGACCTTAAACCAATGTTTTAGTACTAACTAGTTAATTATTGTGCATAGCTTTAGTTTATTCATTTGGAAAGAAAAAAGGTGTTTTGGCTTAACACATTTGACACGCAAACCCATTTGAAATATTTATTTGTTTGATATCTGATTTTAAAGCCTAACTCTGACAACAGATAACAGGTACAGTATTGCATTTTACCAAAAAAAGGAAATAAAAAGAAACCACCAGCATCAGTATACATTAAAAAGGCATTTGATTAAATGACAACAGACCTGTGTTCCACTTTCACACCATGGACAGATGCTCAAGGCAGAACATAACACAATATTGTACCAGTTCATAACGTACAGTATGCGTTTGTGTTTTTGGGTACATGAAGACATACAAGAGCTGAAAAGAAAATAACCCAACAACAGAAACCTGGATTTCACAATGCAAGTTGTGATGCATCTATTTATTCAGCTATAAAATCTTTATGGTGGTGTGGTGGAAGAAGGGGATATGAAACTAACTGAAAGAATGTGAGAATTAGAATCACAAATTGTGGCATTATATTAGCACAATTCTTACATCACAGTTTTGATAAAAACTCAGTTCCCTTCTCGTTCATGTTCTGCTAATGCATCGGAGCAAATGACAAATCATTAACCGCAGCAAAACTCGCTAAACCCGTTTACGGTATCCGACAGGTCAACTAGACATCTAGACATCGGGGGGAAATGCCTGGACTAGATTACACAGAAAAAGTGGTTAATACAGACCTGAATGTACGCGGAAGACGAGATAA